CCTAAAATAATGAAATTTGGTTTTATTTTTTTTCTCACTAAAGCCTAAATGTCTGAGTACCTGTGAGCAAAGGAAATGTCTGTAAAATCACTAACTTAATTCGGAACAATCGCTGCTGTGAAAGACTTTTGAGTGTGACATTTCTACGTCTTCACTTTATCCTCTCTCACCGGTGACATAGAAACTCCCGCATTTCACCTGTGGCATTAATTTCCAGTCTGCTTCGGATCACATGCATCCAACACAATTTGCCAGGTAATTAAGATGGTTCATTAGAAGGGGAAAAGGAGTGTGCTTTCAACATCTTCCCCCACTTACCACAGTTTGAACCATTGGTGAAAATGATGGAAAGAGAAAGTGAGCATACGGTGCACAAATGAGTCTTTTAGAAGAGAAAGAAGGGAATCGCCTTTGATTCGACAGACCAGTGAACTCGACTATTTAGGTTGCCAAACTTAGAGCTGTTTAGTAGTTGAAGTTTTGGTAAAAAATAAAGCCGTCATCTAAACTGAACGACAATTAACACAAATACCAAGAGAGATTAAGACAGATGGCAACACTCCCCACTTACTGGCGCTGAAGCAGCTGTGTTTTTTCTGGGAAAGAGTTGGAAAGGACGAGATCAACGTGTCCCAGCAATGGTTGACAGCCCAACTCGATGGACACCTCAATTAACGGCATTGCAATGACAGCAGGTAGAATCTAAACGAAACACAAATAAATTCACTACTCCATTCTTCGAACTGGGTTGAGAGGGTGACTTATTAGGCATGTCACTTTCGCAATGAGCATTCAGTAACTGAGGAAGTGGTTGTACAAAATACTTCTCTTTATGGCAGTCCAAACATTTGAACGTTTTTATGCATTACTTCGGTAATTTTTCCAGCCAGTGGGTAATTCGGGTTACAAAATGAAAGCAGCATTAAAAATGAAGAAACTATGAGGTCGTGCCTTTGGGATTGCATTTCACAACAAATAATATTTTGGAGACGGAGTGCAGGTGGTGCGAGGAAATCCCGAAACACCGATTGAAGAGCATCACGACTAAAATGCAAGCCATGTAAGCAAGGGGGAGAGTTAAGCAGTTTGCGAGTGAAAAATTGCTTCTTTTAATGTCTATTTGACGCATATCAACTGATACAGATTCGTCCGCAAAGTTGTAAATGCAACGACAGAGTTGGATAATCGTGTCAACAAATGCGAGCGGTCCTTATGACAGTGCGATGTCGAACCATTTTAATGAGGTACCGTATGGTAAGCTTCATATTTTCTCTTTGAAATGAAGTCCGAAGTGGCTATTATAAATCTTAATAGGCTAAAATGATGACTGTGATGCCGACTTGGCGGACTGGAGGGACAAAGTAGTACAGTGAAGAACATTTGCGTTTTGATTTTAAGAAAGGACCATCGGTGAACAACAACATTGCGTTGCTGTGACTTGACGCATTTCAAGCTTCCAAAACCTCCCAGTAAAAACACCATAAGTGTAAGAACTGAGATAAATATTCCTCGGACATTCGAATGGCTCTGGATAAATCATTTGTTAACTCCACTAATGTCTACTAGACCAAATAAAAAACAGCATAATTGAAGTGTTTACTTTTGTAAACATGGTAGGTCTGTAAACATTTCGCTGAAGTGGAATAGATGGAGGCAAGTTTTAAGTAAGTTCAGAAGAATATTCATATCAAAATTTTGTTGAGAACTGACATACTTCGGCTGGATCCGAGTCACATTTTTGCCAGACATATTGGGCTGCCAGAAAGGCTAAAATTTTGTGAGCCAAACGCTTCTCCTCATGGCTCTTCAGTTGAGCCATATCCAGTGCCGGTAGCTGTTGAAAGTCAGGAGGAAATGCGTAATTGTAATAATATTGAATTGCATGCATAGAAAGGAAGGGAAGGTGGTTAAAATCTCACCTTTTCAATGGATTCCCGAAGTTTGTCAGCATTGAGCAGTTCATCGGAATGCTCCAAGAGCCTTTTGAAAGGCAAAAGCGAAGGTGGCGGTGTCGTCTATGCAAAATGCAAATAACGCCTATTTTAACTTTTCATAACGTAGGGAACGGAAATCCAGTGGGTAAAAAGTCACCAAAAGAGATCAATCTATTTTCAAATCTCGTATCTGTTTCAAAAACTATTTTTAACGGGGTTAACTAAAGAGGAAAGCGTACACTGGTAAAAGATTTTACTTTGCAATTTACACATTAAATTAAGAGCAAAATGAGTGTTGAATGAATGCTGAAAGACCTTGCGAAGTAGTGGAAACGTACAGGCTGTCTCAGTAGACATCCAGTGACGGGACTGATTTTGTAGTCTTCCAGAGCTTGCATGGTGTAGAAGTCACACTGGAGGGTTACAGAGGCCAGATTAATAAACCGGCGGTAAACAAAGCCAACCTATTAACGGTTCACAAGGCAGGTTTGCACAATAGCACGCACACATTCACATGGATGGCTGTCTTGTAAAATTAGGCAATAAAAATTATCACAGAAGGTGGAACGACTGAGATCGATGGAATGAAGTTTGTCAACTCCTTTGCGCTCACTAAAATGATCCTCTTCTTTTAAAAGG